CGGCGCCGCCGCCGCCGGGGCCGCTGGGGCCGCCCCCGTAGGAAGACCCCCCGCCCCCGTAGGAAGAGCCGCCGCCGCCGTAGGAAGGGCCGCCGCCGCCGTACGACGAGCCGCCGCCGCCGTAGGAGCCGCCGCCGCCGCCGTAAGAGCCGCCGCCGCCGCCGTAGGACGAGCCCCCGCCGTAGGACGAGCCGCCGCCGCCGCCGTAGGACGAGCCCCCGCCGCCGCCGCGGTGGGGCCCCGGCGGCGGCGGCCGGTCCGATCCCGCGAGCGGGTTCTGCCACGGCGCCGGCGGCGCGGGCCGCGCGGGCGGCGGCGGCGGCTCGCTCCGGGGCTCGGGCTTCTTCGTCGGCTGGCGGCTCATGAGCTGGGCCAGGAGGCGCGCCTTCTCGTCGGACGTGCCCGGCGCGACGGCGAGCGGGCGAGAAGTGGGGCCCTGGGGCTTGGGCCGCGGCGGCTCGCGCCAGCCCGCGGGCTCCGCGAAGTCGCCGTCGGCGGGCGGCGGCGGCGCCTTGGGCGCCCGGGGCGCCTTGGGGATGCGCTCCCGGGGCGCCTCGGCCGTGAGCAGGTCCAGCGCCGACGCCTTGGGGGGATCCCGACGTTCTTGAAGCGCATGCGCGGGCCGCACAAGGCGTCGGGCGCCGCCGCCGTCGCCCGCAGGTCCCCCGGCCGGTCGTAGGCGCTGCGCGCCTTGGGCTGGGGCGCGCCGACGGCGGCCTTGGCCCGGGCCTTGCGCTCCGCGAGCGACGGGTCCGCCGGCGGCGCCGGCCGGCCCTCGGCCTTCTTCTTCTTCTCCTTCTTGGCGATCTTGGGCACGCGCGGCGCCGGCGGCGCCGCCGGCTTCGCCGGCGCGGCGTAGTCGTCGTCGTCGTCGTCGGCGAGGACCGCGTCGAAGTCGTCGTCGTCGCCGCGCGCCGCCGCCGCGTGGCGCTTGAGCTTCTTCGCGGGCGCGGGCGCCGCGAGCGCGTCGCGCTTGCGCTTCTCGCGGCGCTTGTGGGCCGAGATCCACTCGACGACCTCGTCGACGGCGCTGTACTCGCAGTCGTCGACCGTGCCGTCGTCGCCGAGCGCCGCGTCGTAGTAGAAGCAGACCATCTCCTCGTGCTCCGCGTCGAAGCTCACCTTGAGCACCTTCCACATGTCGCCGTC